TGTGCAGATGAGATTTAGGGCCCGTTTGATTCTCATAATTGTAGAATGAGAATGAAAAATATAGTCGTTATTTGGCTCCACACAAGAAACAAAAATTGAAAATTGATGGTTTGATGTGATGGATAACGGTCATATTTTTCATTTTTATGGATGAAAAATGATAAACAAACGGAGGCAAAATAATATTTTCCATCACATCATTAACTTTTCATTCATTTTCAACCACATAAACAAACGGAGGCAAAATAATTATGAAAGTGGGAAATATAATTTCAAATTTGTTAAATACAAGGTAAATAATGGATTAATAAGGGAATTTTGTTACTTATTTTAGTTGGTTGATGAGAGTTGGAATTATCCATCGGCTCTCAATTGAGGCTATGGCCCCATGCATGCCATTGACGCAATGGAAGAGCCGAAGAGTTGGAGCATGCAATGCTTCCCAGTTTAGGAATGGGGACGAATTGATTATCGCTTGAGCGTTGTAAGATCAAAGATGATGAGGTACTTCATTTGTGGGAGAGAATAAACTCTCATATTGACTTATAAATAATGAATTCTTAATATAATTGACCTACTATTCCTAACACAACGCTCATTTGGCCCCCATTATTCCACATTATAATGACGGGAATAGTAATTTTTTGGAGAATGTGTGGTTAAAAAAAAAAGTTTTTGAATTTACGTGTAATAATATTTTCTTAGAGAATGTGTGATTGATAAGAAGAGATAGAAAATGAATTATAATTTTTTAGATGTTAATTTTCTCACACGAGAACGAAAACTAATTTATATAAGGACAATATATTTAACACTAAATCCAGCCTTTCAAAAAAAAGAAATCATTTGTTCAAATTTTGAAATAAAAACCCTATCCTCTATTACACATAAACTATCAAAATTTAGCCCATGCCCATCTCTCATTCTTTCTAAAAAAAAAAAAGTTTACATTTTCAACCACACATTCACACAATAGAATATTCTGAACATAAAACTTAAACTTTTTCCTATTTTTGAATTACACATTTTTCCAAAAATCACTATTCAAAACAATATTTTTTCCAAAATAATAATCGTCAACAAGGGACTTAGTAGAGTTTGTCCTCATTATTTCAGTCCAATTTTATTGTAAAAATCATGTAAAATGAAAAATA